CACACACACACACACACACACACACACACACACACACACACACACACACCCTTTGGCGCCAACAAAATCTGTGTTTCAAAGCAACAGGCGACAGATGCAATCCACAAGCACAAAGTAAATAAACAAAATCCATAATAAAAATCAATTAACTCACTAAGAAACGTGCAATGAGCGCGTGTTGAGTTCAAGAGCAATCAGATAAATTGGAATAGAGCGCATGAGCCGTAAAATGATGATTAACTGTCGGAAAAGGGGGGTCAGTTTTATACTTTATCTTTGTTTAACCCTTCTTCATTTCCTTTACGTTTTGTCCAACTTAAACTTTTAAAAAATGCTTACGTTTTTAAGTGAAATTAAACATTATTTTGTTTCCTTGAAATGCAATTCAAATCGTACAACAGTTTTTTTAAATAGCGCATAAAATAAGTTAACAGGTCTTGGGGAAAAAAAAGCAAAGCATAAACAATTTATTGTTAAGTTATGTCACAAATATATTCAGAATATAAATGAGGATATTTTTCAGATATATACATTAATGTACAGAACACATTTCCCTTCCGAAGGGAAGCAAATCGACAACAGGCAGTGCTGTTATTTAATACAAACAAAATAATTATAATAATAAAAATAATGCTGTGGTTCTCCTAGTGCACACGCACACACAAACAAAAAAACAAAACACTACTTTGCTCAGGATTTGGCGACCCGTTCTGGTGTTTGAACGCACCGAAATTTGCAGCAGGGCGCTCCTTTAGGCCCAGAAACAACAACAACAACAACAACTAAAAGTTTGTTGGTGCAAAGTGAGCGACAAGAAGGCCTGTCACCTTTCACCTGCCTGCATGGAGGAGAGGAGGGGAGCTGTCCTTGTTTCCACCAAAACTCTCAAATTCAAGTCTTTTCACCCTCGTGTCTCCAAAATGACTGTCAGAGAACCGCTTTTCTCCTCAAATTAAGACTTCATGTTCGTTTCTTTCTGCAGYCTGTGAACCTGGGCCTACTGGTGAGGAAAAGGGATTAACCTTCAAGGGTCCAGGACGCCTTGTCCCCTCCCCTCCTCCACCCCAACTCCTGACCAGATGTGACACAAACCTCCGCACCTGGACGCGTCTCTGCACAGGCCACAACTCTCTGTTCCGGAGGCCCACCCGCACCCACCCATTTAAAAAGAAAGTCCTCACACCCTACCACTGTTCATGTCAAGCCAGGTGGTACATACTGTACCCCACGTGAGCGGCGTACAGTCCGACCGGAGACACCGGCAGCGAGTGTCTCTGGAACGGGTGCGAGCCTGCGTAGGACGCGGGGACGTGCGCACCGAGAGGGAAGGAAATCCCGAAGGCCGGGGGCAGCATGGGCTTGGCTGCCATTTTCAGTTTCTCCAGCTCTGCCTCCTGCAGACGCTTGGCCTTGGCCCTCCGGTTCTGAAACCAGATCTTGACCTGGGTCTCCGTCAGGTTCAGGGAGCTGGAGAACTCTGCGCGCTCGGCTATGGAGAGGTACTGCTTCTGGCGGAACTTCCTCTCCAGGGCGAGCAGCTGGGACGTGGTGAAGGGAGTCCGGGGCTTTCTGTTTGTCTTGTGTTTGCGCAGCGGACAGGCAGGAGGACTCAGGCGTCCTGCAGGAAGATTTAAACGGGAAATCAAAAACTTTCATTCAGAACCGGGGCTGCTTTTAGTCAGAAAGTTCGCTTTACGCGTAAACATTAAAAGTAAAACAAACACTTCCCAAATGTCAAAGTCAAACAAGTTCTATGAATGATCATTCTCACATCTTATGACAAAACATGAACACTTTTCTGCAACTTTAAAATAATCATCATTGTCTCTGACTTACTTGGAGGAGTGGGAGAAAAGCGTGGACTCTGGATCCACGGCGTCCTCTCTTTGCCGTCCGGGCTCTCGGGTTTGATCAGCACGTCCTCGGACATGTTCATGATGTCCCCCACTGAAAACGCCGAGCTGACGGGCAGTGCGGGGACCGAAGGATCCAGGGCAGGATAGGAGCCCATCCGCGCCTCCTTCCCCAGCGCGTCGTGGGACGTCCCGGCCGCGTCGTCCGGAGATGGAAGCTCTCTGCTGGGCTTCCTGTCCGCCATCAGCGCCTCGACGCTGAAGGGCAGGATCGCGACTTTGGGCTTCCCGGTGTCCTCCGCTGGGCTCAGGCTGGTCTGCATGTCGCCTCTGCTGACCAGAACCGAGCGGGGATGATGGTGAGGAGGGAGCTCTTCAGATTTCACACCGGCGGTCAAAGCGGACATGARGGTCGATGATGGGGCCATGCAGGTCCGGCTGGTACTGGTGGCAAAAATTATTATCAAAACAAAATTATATATAAATAAATAAAAACAAACAAACAATAACAAACAGGGCGACTGTTTGAGTCAGACGGTGAAGCCGTGAGACCAGACCGACTTGCTCTGTTCAGATTTCCTCATGTTTCTGTGGCCAGATTGGTGCGCGCGCCTCTAATAAGGCAGACGTAGAGAAGGAGGCGACCAATCAGGGGGCCTCGGGGACCGCTGGGGCAGGACCGTGGGGGGTGGTGGTGGAGGGGAGATCAGAGAGCAATTGTTACTTTTTATAACTTCAAATAAACAAAACAAACTCTTAATGGAGCGTGTTTTRATCCGGGCTTAAATGCTCCCAAATTAGACCTTTAAATATGATTTCAATCACCTTCCCATTTCTGATTTTGCCACTTTTTTTAGGTGACGACCCTCTTGCTGTTTATTGATGACAGCGGGGCTCTAATCAGATTGCAACACGCGGGTCTTTGCAGTCATTTAGGGGGGTGATCATCAGGTTTGGGAGGGAGGAGGGATCACTTTTATTTCGCCCTCTTCTTTTGACCCAAACCCATTAAAGTCGAAACTGATGTGGAGTCAGAGCAAGGAAGAAATGGAGCCACGCGGGGATTTAACTRAGGAGTTTTACCTGCTCAGAGACCTCATATCGTCTTATCTGTAGATCAGATTAAAAACTGAACTTCGTGCGTAAATCTGTGCGACAAAAAGACAAGCAGAACCGATATATTTTAATGTTCTCGGGACCCTAATTGCCAGACATAAACAATCTGTCACGATTTGTCAGCCTCCTTAATGGGCAGACAAGTTATGTTGTTTTTAGGCGCCAGCAGCGGTCCGGATCAAAGGGCTCCACTTTTAAGGAGACTATAGAAAGAAAGAAAAAAGTTTTCACCCTCCTCCTCCTCCTCCTCCTCCTCTTCCTCCGCCTCCATCCGCCCTAGCCCTGGGACACTGAAGCATTCAGGCTGAAAAATTAGCCTTTTCTCAGCTGATCCCAGCTATTTCCATCTATTCAAATGAGCTCTAGTGGAGAGAGGGGGGAAATCAGAAGCTTGTGCACACTGATGGATTCCCCGAGATGCGCTTTTACGCACGGATTTATTTGCAAACACGTGCATTCACGGGCTTCTGTCTGCTTTAAAGAAAGGAAAACACAACGTTTTCCCCTCCCTCCCCCCCTGCAGCCTCATTAAAAGTTAAGGCTTGTTGCTTGGTGGTTGAAATATTAAATGGTTTGAAGCGCAAACCTAACAAGTCAAGGTGACATGGGAGGCGCCCATGCAGCCGACCTGTTTTGCACAGCAATAAAGATAACCAGATAAGGTAAATAATTAGCTATTTGTTCAGGCTTGTCGTGATAAGTGTCCCCTTAAAGGTTTGTGTTGATTGTAATTTCATTAAAAGGGTGTAAAGAATTCATTTTAATAAATGAAATCAGGCGCATTTCTTTGTTTAAAAGAATAAAATATGAAGTCTACTCATTGTTTGATGAGTGGTTTTGGTCAAAGGAACTCAACGCATCCCGTTTCATCCCTGATGCGCTTCCTGGGTTGCAAAAAAAAAAAAAAAACAGCTGTGGAAACATTTAAAACCTTAAATCTTGGGGACTAGTGGCTCTGAAGCCACCGGTGTCTCCCGGGCTCTCGTGACCGACTCAAGCCCTCTCTGCCTCGGCTGAGGTGAGCCGTCACCCCTGCTCCCTTCCTCCCACAACATTTGTGTTGAAAGTTAATTCATTAACGACTGTTTTAGCAACTGTTACATTTTACCTCATWGCACATGTTTTTCTGTTTTTTAAGAAAATGATGCTGAAAGAGAAACAAGTGTTTGCTCCAATCAGCATCCCTCTTTAAAAATAAAAAATAAAAAGACAGCCGGAGATAATCATCGCGCAGTTTTATTAAATCCAGAGGCAACAAATGGGGTTACGTTACAAAAAAAAAAATAAAAATAAAAATAAAAATGTAAAGGGCCCTGCGGAGCCTTTATTTCACTTCATAAACTGATTCGTGCAGTCAGCAGGCAGGGAGCGCAGACAAAAGGCCCATTGTTGCCGCCTCCGAAACTTGTTTTAACCCTTTTGATGCGGAGCTCTGTCAGGCCGGACTGTAAACACACAAAAAGTGACATAAAACTGAGGAGAGCTTCAGCGTTTGGTCAGGAGACAATGTGTGAGTAGAATCTGTCAGTCTTTTYTTTATGACTCAGAATCAACGTTTTTTATATTTTTTTCTCAGGTTAAAACGACTTGGTGCCAATGATTCTGGTAGAATATCAGTTGTGACTTTATGTAATTGCAGCGATGAGATGAAAGGATTCTCTCTCTCTCTCTCTCTCTCTCTCTCTCTCTCTCTCTCTCTCTCTCTCTCTC